AAAAAAAAAAAAACTTAAAATAATAAAATAAAATAATAAAATAAAGAGAATAACAAGGGAAAAGAAACATCTAAATATATAAAAAGACTATATATGACACAGCTTGTAAGAGCTTGGTCCTTCTTCGTTCCAGAATAAAGAAGGACGGGCTTCTCTCAGGGGCAGGAAGAATCATTCAAGTATTTACTTTCTCCAGTTCTTTTTTGTCCGGAAGGTTCTCCCAGGACCATATGGAATCACTTTCTGGAGATGTGATTTCTGTTTCAAGTATGATGCATGCATGAATTACCTTTGTGCAAAATTTTGCACCTTTTGCAGAAATTTGTGGCCAAATTTTCCACAAACCATTAAACAATTTTCTTGGTTATGGCTAACATTCAAAATTAATTGATAAATAGAAAAGCTTTCTTGGGCCGGCCTAGTGGCTCAGTTAGTTAAGAGCACGAGCTCTGAGCAACAGGGTTGCCAGTTCGATTTCCACATGGGCCAGTGAACTGCACCCGAGCTGAGCTGCCGCTGAGCTGCCAACAGGTGGCAGGATGGCTCAGCTGGTGAGAGCACATGCTCCTAACAACAAGGTTGCCAGTTTGACTCCCGCATGGGATGGTGGGCTATGCCCACCCGCAACTAAGATTTAACAGGCACCTTAAGCTGAGCAGCTGCGAGCTGCTAATGGGCAGCCAGATGGCGACTGGACTTGGAGCTGAGCTAGCTGCGCCCTTCACAACTAAGTCTGAAGGACAACAACTTGGCTGTGCCCCTTCCCCAATTCCCCAATAAAATTTTAAAAAAGAAGAAAATAGAAAAACCTTCTCAATCGTCTTACAAGGATAATGAAACATATAAGTAATATAGCCATCAATCAAAAATTATGTTTTACATACTATTTGCCTATAGAACATCTGACTCATCAGGTAAATCCTGCTTCCAGCAAGATGTATTGTTTTTGTCTTATTTCCTTATTTATTCAGTATAAAGCTTGTTGAGATAAGTTGGATCAGAATTTTTATTGGCCTCATTGTTTTAGTTTGCATAGGAAATCAAAGTTTATACTTCAGGATTAAAAGATTTTTGTATGTCAACTGTAATTATATATACATATAGTCATGGGACATGGAGTAGAGAGTGGGAATGGAATCAATGGAATTGTAATAGATAAGCATGTTATCGGGGGTGGGAGGGCAGTACATGGGGGCAGGGGGGTTGTTACTTTGTGAGGGTGAAAAGGATAACTATTGCATTGTTCTGTACACCTGAAACTAACAATAAAAAAAATTAAAAAATAAAAGATTTTTATTACCAGGTATCACCCACCAATCAATAAAAGTTTGCTGTGATTCCAGTTCACACATAGCAATGCATTCTAAATCAAAGCATAATACCTAAAACAAAATGCAGTCAATATAATTTTGATCTCCTTTCCCAGGTGCAAAAATCATGTATTTTAGGAAATTTCCCAAACACTTGCTTTGTCCTCATTTTTATGTAAAAATCTGAGTCTTTCTTTTTCTAGAAAAACTTTTCTCTTATTATATCTAAGGCTACTGTTTCTGTTCCATTTCTTTGGATCTGACCTTCAGATATACCAGGGGTGCCAAAAAAATGTATACAAGTGGACACTTTGGTCAAGTTCGCCATAATAGAAGTGTCTGGATGCTGATGGTAACCACTTTGAGCACCTCTTGTAATTGTAGAAGTCAAGTGTGACTTGTATTCATCTTTTGATATCAGTATATATTATTACAATTTTAATACACTTTTCCTCTTAAAATGTGTATGCATTTTTTTGGCACCCTCTGTATGATTATTTTTGCTGTGGGATCTCTGCTCTATGGTCTCCACATTAATTTCTCATCATTTTTTTCTTTTTCTATTTCCACTACCTACTGGAAAAATTTCCTCAAGTTTTAATGATTTTTACAGTGTCGATTTTCCTTATTACTGTTTCCAATACAGGTATGTAATATGTTAAATAATTTTGTTATTAATGTGAACAGGAGTTCTAATATTTTATTCCCATATCCCAGTGGATTCATACTTTGGATTCAATAACAATTACACATTTTTGACAAGTCTCTCTCTCTCTCTCTCTCTCTCTCTCTCTCTCTCTCTCTCTCTCTCTCTCCCTCTCTCTCTCTTTCTCTTTTTGCATCCTCTGCTATATTTTTGGTTCATGAAATTTAATTTGTTGTGCATGTTTCATTTCCTGGGAATCACACTTGCAAAGGGTTGTATTTCTGGTTCATTCTTCAGTTGGTAAGAAACAGACACAGGTAGCGCAGTCAGTTTCTGACCTTAGCATTGAACCTTCCTTCCCCTTTCCTTCTCCCTCAGTGGAAGATAAATGTGAAAGAAATGAGTTCCAGTGCCAAGATGGGACATGCATCTCCTACAAGTGGGTTTGCGACGGGAGCGCAGAGTGCAAGGACGGTTCGGATGAGTCTCAGCAGACGTGCAGTGAGTCCCGTTTGGGCGTGACACCCATCCCAACATTTTTTGATGATAGAGGGTGATAGATAAGTTGGAAATTGACCATCAGATTCATGTATTCAACCATGAATTGGGAGATGGGGAGGGAAGATATTGCTAGAACTTCCTTTTAACAGCTCCTTTTTTATAAAAATTGGGGTGAAATTCACGCCACACAAATTTAACCGTTTTAAAGCGACCAATTCAGTAGCATTAATCCATTCACAATGTTGTGTAACCAGCACCTCTATCTCGTTCCAAAACTTTTTCGTCACCTGGCATCTAATTTTTTTTTATTATTTTTTTTAATTGAGGAATTGTGGGGAGGGGAACAGCGTAGAGGAATCGGGGGAGGAGAACAGACAGGTAGACATATTGTTTTTGTTCTTCAGTCTAGTTGTGGAGGACGTCGCTTCACTGGCCCATGTTGGTATGATCATTGTGCTCTTCCGGGGTGAGGCAGATCGGTTGCCGGTCATTGGTCGGCCACTCACAGCGGCTCCCCGCAGCTCACACCGGCTGCCAGCCACTCATGTAGCTCACAGCAGCCCAGCTCCAGGTCCAGCTGTTGTTCATCATCTTAGCTATAGAGGGCGAGCGTCACTGGCCCTTAATGTGGGATCCGAACTGCAGCCCTGCTGCTCAGAGCTGGTGCTCCCAAGCGAGCTCTTAACCAACTGAGCCACTCGGCCAGCCCCTGGCGTCTAATTTTTAACATGCTTCATTAAATTTTGACCTAGGAAGACGGGATTGGCACCCTCTTTCTGAAAACTCTGGGTTCTTCCTTGGCACAGCTAGGACTGGCGAGGCAGATTGGTCTTCCCTTTGAGTTAAGGCTCAGTCCTGTTTCTCCCTCAGTGTCTGTCACCTGCAAGGTGGAGGACTTCAGCTGTGGTGGCCGTGTCAACCGCTGCATTCCTCAGTTCTGGAGGTGTGATGGCCAGGTGGACTGTGCGAATGGCTCAGACGAGCAAGGCTGTCGTAAGTGTGGCACAAGTGGGTTCCGGCTGCTGCCAGAGTTTGTTCTCCCAGCAGCCCTGCCCAAGGTGCAGATCCGCTGCTCTTCACTCAGCTCTGTCTCCTGGAGGCTCGTACCAAGCCCCCCCCCCACCCGTTGAACCCCACCTTGACCGGAAGGCATTGCAGGGGGTAGCAATGGTGCCCCTCTTGGGGTCATCAGTGAGGCTGTCCTTGCTGAGTGCCTGCCTCATGGCACACGCTCCTGTCGGTGAGTCACTATGACCACCGTCAACCACCCCAGGAAGCTAAAGACACAATAGGTGCTCACTCACCAAGACTCACTCACCCAACTAACCACTAAGAGGAGGAAAGCTTCACCATGCTGAGGCTTCTGCAAAGAAACAAGGCCAAGAGTCCTGGAGGGGAGTCCATTTCAGACCTGGGTGTCTGCCTCGGCTCTTTGATTTTATGTAATATTATTGTTTTTTTTCAGTTATACAGATTTGTTTCTTTTTCTTTTTTAAGATTTTGATTGGGGAATTGGGGGGATGGTAACAGCTCTGGGGGATTGGGGGAAAGGGAACAGACAAGTTGCTGTCGTTTTGTTCTTCAGTCTAGTTGTGGAGGGCGTTGCTTCACTGGCCCAAGTTGGCACCATCATTNCAGGAAACTATCTTCCACAAACCCAGACAGCCCTCTATCTTATTGTGTCTAAGGAACTGGCCTTCTCACCACATACCTCAAGGTTAAGTAAGCATCCTCCAGGTGCAGAAAGGAGCAAGATGCAAAACAAGTTATACTACAGTAAAGCCAGCCTGCATGGCTCCCAACAAGTATATTGTAGACGCATCTCTGAAGGAGACAACCTGTTCCCATCAGTGGTTGGGCAATACAGTTATCAGTGTGTGTGACCATAGCAGATTTCAAAGCTCAACTCACGTTTCCCTCTTCCTTCCCTTTCTTCCACTCATTGTCCTTGTCAGATGGACCTTGTAATTCACACTAACCAAGTTCTGTCGAAACACTCCTTGTATTTCTATCACCTCTATCCTCCGTTGGGCGTCCTGGTATCTCTCCTAATCTTATCTAACTGATTTCCTAACCTTTGGCAGGAGCATTGGACTTGAACTTTGAAGACCCAGAGTTTGTTTTCTTTTTAAATTGAGAAATAATTGACATACTGTAAAATGGACAGATATTAAGTGAACAACAGTTCATTGAGTTTTTATGAACATCTATTTCCAAGTAATCATCTCCCATTTGGATATAGAATGTTTCTAGCCTCCCAGAGAGTTTCCTTGTGCCCCCCCCTTTTTTTTTTAAGATTTTATTGGGGAATTGGGGGAGGGGAACAGCGCTGGGGAATCAGGGGAAGGGGAACAGACAAGTTGCTGTCCTTTTTTTATTCTTCAGTCTAGTTGTGGAGGATGTCACTTCACTGGCCCATGTTGGCATTATCATTGCGTTCTTCCCGGCTGAGGCAGATCAGTCGCCAGCCTCTGGACGGCCACTCATGGCAGCTCTTGGCAGCTCACACCGGCTGCCGGCCGCTCACAGTAGCTTAAGGCAGCCCACTGCAGCACGGGCTGCAGCCTACGCCATCGCTGACTCACGGCAGCCCAGCTCTGGGTCGAGCTGTTGTTTGCCATCTTAGCTGTAGAGGGCAGTGTCACTGGCCCTTATGTGGGATCTGAACCGGGGCCCTCTGGCATCCCAAGCCAGCTCTTAACCAACGCGCCACTCGGCCAGCCCTCCTTGTGCCCCTTTCTGTAATTTAATTACCGCCTCCACATACCAAAGGCAGCTGCTTTTGGATGTCCTATTGGATGAACATATTACCTGTCTGTTTTTAAGCTGATATCTGTCATGTCAGCATCTGGGCAGGGCTCCTTTTTGTTCTTGTCTTTAATACTCTCTTGGAAATAGGGACTGATCTTCTCCCCCATTTTACAGACGAGGAAACTGAGGCCCAGAAGGGTTAAGTCAGTTGCCCAAGTCATTCTAGTTAAATGGCCTGGAAAGCCATTTATACCCACGTCTGTCTAACCACCTCACTACACGGCCTCTCAGGGAATCTGCATGAAAGAGCCAGATGAACCATCAAAGTAGACGTGAAAAGGGGGCATACCTTTCTTCCATATCCTTTACTGGATATGCCATATCAGTTTTCTTCCTCTGCCCATGCATATTTGAGAACTCAAATACATATATATATTAAGTAAATAAGTAAAGGGTCAGTAAAGGGGTCAGCTAAGTGGCTCAGTTGGTTAGAGTGCGAGCTCTGAGCAACAGGGCTGCAGGTTCAATTCCCAAATGGGCCAGTGAGCTGTGCCCGAGCTGAGCTACCGCTGAACTGCTGAGAGTGCATGCTCTTAACAAGGTTGCCTGTTCAACTCCCACACGGGATGGTGGACTACGCCCTCCCCTCCCCCACTGGATTGAAAACAGTGACCGGACTTGGAGCTGAGTTTGTGCCCTCCACAGCTAAGACTGAAGGACAACAACTTGACTTGGAGCTGATGGGTCCTGGAAAAACACAATGTTCCCCTCCCCAATTCCCCAATAAAATCTTTAAAAAAAAAAAAAGTCAGTAGATAAATAAGTAGTTATTTACAAGGAACACCAACCCACATGTTTAATTGTGCTCCACAGACTCTAGGGCAGTGAAAGATGACCTTTATACAAGGTCCTCCATAAGTCCTAAAAATGCAGAATATTCCTTGACCGCTGGAATCTGGTCATGGAAAATCATAACCCATCTTACGTTTTCCTGGCATCTTATGGCTGCGATAAAAGCCTGCCTGTCTCTTGTATAAATGTAACACTCTCTGGATAGCAGAACTATTTCCCAGAGTAAACCAGAGGAGAGTAATAAAATCTAGCAAATGGTGTCCAATTTTTCAGGAAGGCGATTTTCAAACTGATGGGTATTTAAAGAGAGTAACAAGGGGGCCCTCCGAGTGGCGCGTTGGTTAAGAGCTGGCTTGGGACGCCAGAGGGCCCCAGTTTGGATTCCACATATGATGGCCAGTGACACTGCCCTCTACAGCTA